TATATATATATATATATATAAACAGATAATCTACTTAATTACACATCTGAAAAGGGGTGGGAAGAAGTTTACACTTAATCCCACCCCTTCTCCCAAAAGCTAAAGTATTAACATATATATATTGTTATTGAAAAACAAACAAAAAGATAAAACAACAAATAAATAAACAGATGAATAAACAAACAAATACATAAAAGAGGTAAATGATATTCAAGAAAAGATAAAATAACAAACCAAATAAATAAATAAACTGCAAACACCCAGTTATGATTAAAAAACGTCATCCCTGTATCTTGTTGAAATCATGTCCTTATACCTTTTTTAAACAGTTTTAAGTTCGGACATCCCTTGAGCTCCTCAAAAATGTTTATATTCTTTCTTTTTAAACATTAAGTATTTTCTCCTAGTGAACTATACTGTGTCCCACTATCTTCTTTTCTTCTCTCTCACTCCTGAAAAACACACACACACACACACACACACACACACACACACACACACACACACACACACACACACACACACAATGGCTGTCTCAGTGTGAAATCTCTCTCTGGTCTCTCTCAGCTCTATTCATGCATGCCCTGCTCCTCCATGCTAAAGCAAGCATGAGGACAGCCTACTGCTGCTATGACAGCCACACACACACATGTACTGTACCAACCAACACACACACAAAAAGAATCTATACTGTATGCTACAGAACTGCTACAATATTATATTAATCAGGCTTTGCAGTTTGTTCTTCTTCAAGCCCTTGTATGTCTTGTAACCCTGGTCTTCGGGTTGGTTCAACAATTTGGTTCGGACTAAGATATTTCAACAACTATTGTACGGCTTAAAATTAGATTTTATTCAAACATTCATGGACCAAAGAGGATTAATCAGATGCATTTCGACATCCCTTGTTCGTCTTGCAGCATAAAGACATTGGCATTTGTGGTTTTTGGCGAAATGTCTCTACAACTATTGGATGGATTGCCATGTCATTAAGGTCCCCCTCAGGAGGAGCTTCAACAACTGTGATATCTTCTGACAGAAGTCATTGTTTGGTCTAATATTAACTTTGTCAAATACTCCTACTTGGTCCTGACCAATCAACTGCAACACTGATGGCCTCAGCCATAGTTCATGTTAGGTACTAATTAGCAAAAGTTAGCACGACTTGCAGAGCGACTAGCTTAGCTGTAGTCTTGTTAACAGATTTTGAATGAGTCAGAAAATGTTCAATATAGGCCACTGGTTTAATAGATATATTTAATCTAGTGTTCCCCTAATTTTGTAAAGCCATAATATTTAAAGATATACTTTTTATAATACAATGTAAAAAATGTGTGGCTCTATGAATACTTACCTTTAACAGACAGCTTTGATAATGCTGTTGTAGGTCGAGTATTTTACCCAAACAAAATGTGCTTTTCTAAACCCCAGTATTGCTGTAATGAAGCCTGCAGCTGCCATCTGCTATACCAATGGACACGCTCACATAGTCACACATGCAGTGTATAAACACGATTCACGGCAGTAGCAGAGTTAGTGAGCCATGCTTTGAGGACTCTGTGTTTGTCTAAACAGCAGGAGTCTGTTACAGCAAGTCAACCCAACAATAAGGGCTGGCCATATCGTCGACCGAGAGAATAATGATCACTGTGCATTATGTGAGAGTCAAAGCAGCACTTTGAAATGCCTTGCCTGTGTTCAAATGTGCGATGTGAATAAGCTTGCCTCGCATTGCTTTGCCTATGTGCTGTGTGTGCACGTGTTGTATATTTCTCAATAATAATCAAATCTTTTTCTTTTTGATTGGTAAAATTCATCTCTACTATGCACCTGAACACATCAACAGTGATGTAACGGGGGGTCGTTTGTTGTTTTGAGTCTTTCAACATCTTGGTGGGTCAGACCGTGACTTGTGTTCAGGTGGCATTCGTACCTACCCATGGACCTCCTCTACTGGTCCAGAGCCATGTCAACACTTCCTCCGCTGACTCTGAGGTGTTCTTGAAGGCTCTGATGTGCCATTGTACCTTCAGCTGCTTCACGAGGTACAACAAAAGCACACAAAGTCCTTCCCAGTCGACAGGATTTCTGACGGTTACTGTGGTCCTTGAAGGTGTACTCCAGGCATTAAGAAGGTGACCATCTGTGTTTGAAGGCGTACAGGTCTGCAGCTGCAAATTCCCATGCTGATGGATCTGCAATGGGTTTAAGAACCAGAATTTACCACCTGGTGCACTTAATGGCTCCTACACTGCTGAAGAGCCTTTCGTCAGCCGGTCAGGATGTCCTTGGACCTCCCCTTGCCTGAGCATTGCCGGCAATCTGGAGATTCCGCTTTGCCCCAGATGAAGAGGTTTGTAAACTGCCAGGACAAGGAACTCGAAGTGTTCTGGTTAGGCTTGCCTCAGATAAGTCCAAGCGACCTTCCAATCCATGGAATGCTCCCACCTTGTCTCCAGCTGCCACTGGCCGATCGTTTTGCTGGACCTCCCCTCTTCCACTGCTGACAACTCTTCCTCTATCTCGGCCGATCTTCCATCTTGGCTTTGTCATTCTAGGAGGTGGGAAGGTTTCCAGTCCAGCTCTTTCCGGATTCCCTGTACTTGGTGGAGCATGAGCACAACTTTGTCCGATCTCCACTTCCTCCCAGTAACCTTAACCTCGACCCGTGCCAGGGCCACCTTGGGGTCACTGGAGTCCTTGTGCAGCAACACCTTAAACTCCTCCTACAGGTTCTTCATGGCAGCTCGAGCTCGAAAAACAACTTCCTGAATCTGCTTATCTCTACCACAGAGGTCTTAAAGAGGTTAAACCTCATACACAAGTAGATTCCACATTACCAGTGTCCTGTTATTTAAATTACAAACATGTGACAGGCGTTTTTTCAAGATTTCCCAATCCAGCACAATTAAAGGAGGTGTATTTATCTGTGATTTGGGAAAACTGTACTTCCTCAGGCCTTAAATTAAAGTATTCTTCTCTGTTTGGTTCTAACCTTCCTACTTTAATCTCTGTATGACAACTGTCTGCCTAATAAGCTAAGTTCAGCGTTGTATTGACCAAATATTGAATCAACTAGTCATATAAATAAACATTAGTTGCATCCTTAATTGAGGTATTGTAGTAAATGTCTGCAATTTCAAGTTTGACTGCACGTTATAATACAATGAAATGTGATTATTGATAAATATATATCAATAATACTATAAAGAGTAAATAAGCTTTTCTATTTTTTTATTTTTGCATCTATTTGTAAAGATTTGTAAAGAAATGTAATGAGACATATAGAAACTGTATTTGCTAAAGGATTTTATTTTTATTAAATTACCAGACATTCTGTTGATTTGTGGCTATTTTTGAAACAGTATGGCAATCTCTTACACAGCTTTGACATACAGTGTATTTATTGCACTACTGGTGTATTAGACTGTAATATACTGTCAGGTTGGTTTCAGCTACGTACTGTATGAGTGTTTGTTGTTACCTGCCACACTCTCAGCTGGAGGGAGAGAGCGACGTTTTCTGGAGAGAGAGGACAGATCGCAGCAGGGAGGCGCTCTGCAGGGCTCTGTTTCATGTCATACAATGTTTCTGTCAGCATGCGCATAGACCTGAACACACAACTGATGATGTGTTTATATGTATGCCGTATGTGCAGGGTCTTTTTCCTTAGCTGGAAGTATTTGGCAGTGACAGTGTTGCTATTCTTTTTTTAAAGTCTGCAAGGTGCACTAAACTCTTTGATTTATAGTAATAGAGATACAAGGACATGAAACACAGTGCATTCACAAACACAGACAGTGATGGAAGAAGTACAGTATTAAGATATTCTACTTAAGTAAAAGTAGTAATACCACAGTGAAGAAATACTTGTATGTAAACATACAAAAGCATTAGACTCAAAACATACCAAAAGGTAAGGTAAAGGTAAAAGTACTTATTATACACAAGAGACAATTTCATAATAATATATATTATATTTTATTTTTGGATAATAAGTATAAATGCATTACTGTGGTCATCAATTTGCTAGCTGGTAAGGGTGGGGCTAACTAAATAGCTTTACATACAATTCAGCCTAGCTTGAGAATGTACTTCAGGTATCAATAACATTTCTTCTGAACTTGACTTATTTTAATATATAATTATTTATTTCTTAAGTAATTAAAAGAATGTAGTGTATTTTCATCTCAATTGTAGTGGAATAGAAGTAGAATGTAGTAGAAAATGGAAATACTCAAGTAAAGTAAACTCAAAATGTACTTTAGTAGTGGAACCCCAGGACTAATCTTTTATTTAGTTGAGATTAACTAAGGTATCTTTGATCACAGTCACATGGGCTTTCAATTTGTCAGCCCTCGCCTCAAACTTTAACTAGAATACTAAACAGCCTTAAAGACAAGCTTAGCATGCGTCCCGAGTCTTGGGGTTTTATCAAGGTAGAGCAGCAGGGTGTATGTGCCACTGAAGATGAACTATCGCTCTCTCCACACACCTCATCAGGAGGTGGGTCACATTTTGCCGATGCCACCTTTCCTTTCCTGCAACCACAAATTAGCTCTCACCTTATGAGCATGTGTGCCTAGCTAGGATCATGTCCTAAAAATAACAAAATATTGGCTTTTTTTGCACTTGTGTACTGTATGTTTCTTTAATGTGTTGAAACTCTACTTCCTCTAGCCTTCAATTCATTTTTTGCCTTTTTTTATTTATATGTAGTTACTATCTGCCTTACTAGCTATGTTTACGTCCAAAGGTCCTTCGCATTCTTACTATTTTGCAAAATACAGTTGTCATGTCAGGCGTTTTCCTTTGCAGTGTATATATTTCAACAATATGGATCTAATATTGCACTTACTTTCTCCAGCTTTAATATTCTTGTATGCTACATTCTCCCTCAAATGCCACCTAAGGGAAAATAAAAATGTTCAATGTTGCTTTCCATCTTAAATTGAATAACCCACCCCTAACCTGAGCCCCTATTCTGTGTCTCCCTGCAGATAAAAACGAGAAAGGAGAAAAGAGGAAGCAGAATGGAGTGAAGGACAAAGGAAAGGAGAGGAGGAAGAGTAGTCCCGAGAAGAAGAAAAAGGAGAGGTTGAAGGCAGAGAACGGCTCCCTGCTGAAAGAGCTAGGTACATTGTGTGTGTGTGTGTGTGTGTGTGTGTGTGTGTGTGTGTGTGTGTGTGTGTGTGTGTGTGTGTGTGTGTGTGTGTGTGTGTGTGTGTGTGTGTGTGTGTGTGTGTGTGTGTGTGTGTGTGTGTGTGTGTGTGTGTGTGTGTGTGTGTGTGTGTGTGTGTGTGTGTGTGTGTGTGTGTGTGTGTGTGTGTACACCCTGCAAGGTTTGCAATGTTTCCAAAATGAAATGCAACTCATTGGCTGCACATTTTGCAACACCTTTGTAGTCTTGATGCATCAATCATTTATAAGGGCAAAATGCAGTAACAAAAGAAGTAAGACATTATACAGTTGGAAATCTCCAGGTAATATTATTTTCTTTCTACCTGATAAAGACTTTATATGAGGAAACTTTATCTTAAATGAATAACTGATGCATCTACAGTAGAGTGCTGCAACCATTTACAGAACATGGTTTTTTCTGCTGTGGTCAGCATCCTGGTGTATTACATTTTCTTTTTCTACAGACTTTGTGCGTCCGTCATCAGTGTTTTCATATATTTTCTGTGTGTAGATCAAGTGTCAGATGCAATTGTAAAATGTTTAATAGGAGTTGACTGCAGCTCAGCCCAGCAGGTTTCATCTGACACATCCGGCTGCTGGCACTCGGCAGTGTAACGTCAATCACAGAGAAAAGTGAAGGCGAGAGATGAAGCAAGACTGCATATTATAAAAATGTCATCCCTGTAAATCAAGCAGACCTCATCTCAGCTTTTCTGTTATCAATAAATCACTTTATATTGCCTGTAGAACTTCAGTATTATAGAAGCTTCTCCTCAGTGACACAACATAAGTTACAATCATAAAGTGAAATATAGGAGCTGATCCAAGCACACACTATCTTGGTACTCATCATATAGGGTTTGATTTACCAGGGGCATTATTAGAATTATTAAATTACAATTTTCTAAATGTATTTATTCTTTAAAGTTCATACTAAGATGGTCTCTTTTGGGCATTGGACTTTTTCTAAAGTAATAGAGCAACCAAATGATCCTCTTCTGCAACTCAGATTTTTTTTTTATGGTATGGTAGTCTAGTAGTGTTTGTTGCTTGTGGACATGTAGATAGAATAGATAGAATCGGAGGGATGAACCCCTCTTTAATGGTCACACATGCAGAGCACACAGCACACACAGTGTTCTCTGCATTTAACCCATCCTAGTAGAAGGAGCAGTGGGCAGCTATTGTACAGCGCCCGGGGGGCAGGGGGGGTGGGGGGTTTGTCCGGTGCCTTGATCAAGGGCACCACGGCAGGGCCCAGGATGTGAACTGGACCTCTCCAAGTAGCAGTCCACACTCCATATTTTAAGTCTGTTCGGGGACTTGAACCGGCGACCCTACAGCTCCCAGTCCAAGCCCCTACTGACTGAGCCACTGCCACTGCCGCACTGTATGAAGGCAACTTGAAGGAAGCTAAAGAAGGAGGCTCTGTAATTCTCATTTTGACTAACACACGTTGCCTAAGCCCAATCTCACTTGAAAGAATCTACTCAAAACAACCCCTGCTGTCTGTCACAGTCAATTACAGACGGGCCGACCCAGCAGGACGTTTCCACTGCCGCTCACTTGTAAACAGTTACTGAATGGAATATACATCCATATACAGGTACATCAGTGTAGTTTTGGGATCGTGCTATTAACTGGAGAAAAGAGACTTTGAACTATATATCAAAACCGATTTATGTATGGCTGGACCAAGGGCCAATCTCCAGGTCTGGAAAGTGAAGCCTGAGCAGAAGTGCCTTAAACCTGCTTTGTTTTTTAATGGCAAGCAGGTGGCCACTCCACTGGTTTCAAATAGAAGTTTGTTTGTAACGAAGTCCAGCTAGTTTTCATACTTGATTGGTGCTCAGTAAACATTTTCCTGACGAGATTATGTCTCAATCAATAGTCTCAAGATTTCTACAATATAGCGTGATGTCATGGGCCAATCGAGAGTTAAATAAATGATGAAGCAGGATATACTCTAGGGCATAGCTAACTTATGATTGACAGGTCGTTACCAGAAGGTGTTGTCGCGTTGGTTTTTCTGCGTTTTTCTTGAAACTTTAACCCTATCACAGTGTTTTTTTGATTTAGGTGATTGTATCTCTTTTCACTGGCTTTTACAAAAAAAACAAGCAGGCAACCTTCAAATTTGAGGCTTCAAAAACATAGTCCTCATACCACATATTATAAACAGTCTATGGGTGGGACATATTAACCCCTGTTTGTAGACTGTAAATCCGGTTTTCGCTAATATTTTTCAATGTCAACTTTATCCTAGCCTGATTACCCTAGTGTCATTGTCATCCCCCTGTGGTTTTTGCAAACATAATCTTAACTTTTCTATCAGTAAAAGGAGTGAAAGGGTTTGAAAAATCATTCATAGAAATAATGTTGAGGGAAGCTCTGCCAGTATTTATCTTCATCATTAATGAGCCACTGGGAGTCCTCATCATAAGTGAGACAAGGATGGATTATAATGGTTGCCCATTCCCCACCACCCATCAATACAGCTATATACAACCCTCAGAAGATAGGTATTAAATGGAAATGGAGCATGAACATATTGTTCGTAAAACGGAGAATTTACAGGCATTTGGCTGACACATATACGCTGTGATTTGAAGTGGAAGAGGAGATAAAGGCTTAGTGTCTTGCTAAAAGAGTGATTTGAATCTGTAGCTTTTAAGTTGTCAACACAAGACAAGCCACCTGTCTGATTATTGGGGTGCACATTAACATTTCAATTGAACAGATATCCTCATAATCTGAACCATCTTGTCTCACTGGGCTGGGAGAGAGGTTATGTTTTAGATGTTTCACTCTGCAGAAGTAATCAAGGTTCATGTTAGCAGAGGTAAAAATGTGTTGACTGGATGCAGATGCCAAAGCCTTTCTTTACAGAAACAGAATTGAAATTGAATATTCCCCTCTGATCCTGTCCATCTATTTACCTCTATATCTGCATTAACTGAGGCAGACAGGATCGCTTTGAAAGCTGCCTCCCGTAACGTCATATTTCCTGACATCCTGAAAACATCCTCAGTTTATTTGTTCAGATGCAGCTGCTTCACGGGACGGCAGCGCTGTGACAGTTTGAGAGCTGGTGCTGTCAGGATCAAACGCAGTGTTTCCTCTCTTTCAGGTCATAGCTTTTTAGGTTATTGCTCTTATTTGGGAAATGTTCCACTGCAAAATTACGTAACTTTCCAAAGCCATTAAAAAGAGATTTAAAAAAAAAAAACACTTTAAATGATTTATAGTATAAAATAACGGTTGTGCTTTTAGGAGGAAGTTGCATGGTCGAAAAAGTACAGACTGCATCCTTTGCACGAAAGATAATGAGTTATGAGCTTCAATAAGGTTTTCTTGTAATGAAAGTAATCTAAAAAACAACTTTTTTTCCAAACAGCGATGCGGTTAGTTGTGAATTTATATTTGTAGTGAAAAAGATTGAGATTGATCTGAAATTGTTGCAAGTAGTTACCCTATTTTGCATATAAAAGCAATAATTGTAATAATCGAATAAAAATGACGAAGGACACCGACAGAGACTTTTATAAATGTAGATATACACACTTTTATCATTCATTATATATTTAATCACAGATTTTAAGTGTCTTCAGGAGGAGTTATGGTCATTAATAATAGATTACTAAAGACTTAAACCAACTTTATCGTGTGTTATAAATCATTTCTTACATTTTGCTTTTAAATGCTTATGTGGAGGGCTGCATCTAAAAGTATCAATTCTAATATTCAAGAACTAATGTACTAATTATCAAAATGTAATTACATGTTTTGGTTACTGCATAAGAAATGAAATACTTCACATGCAAACAAGAGAGGGAAAGAAACACTCAACTTGTGATATACAGCATGTTTGTGTGGGCGAACAAAATGGAAAACAAAGTCCTCCATGTCTTCAGGCTTTCTTTTTTTTTTAACAAGCTCCTCCGCTGTGATTAGCTTCTATATGTAGGACATCAGGTGGGTGGATTTGTAGTCTTGCATAATCCATGTTTATATGAATCCAGATCTAGTATAAGTTATGAATATTCCTGCAGTGACATTCTGCAAAAAAAGCCGTGGGCTGCACCGAAAATTACTGTACATGATTAATATCTGAGAGCTAAATGAAAATGAGTTCTGCTCTGAAATATAATTTATCTAGCTTTTCATGTGTATGATTAAAAGCAGCTCATGTACATGATGGATCATATTGATAGTAATTCTTAATAGATCCACAAAGGTAAATATCGCTGAACCCCTCCCCCTCTTCAAAGAGTTTGAGTCATTGTTTAGAGTCCTGACACTAAGTGACAAATACAACTCTGTGTATTATTATTATTATTAAGGAATGCAGAACACAACCGCATGAAACTAATCAGACACATTGCAAAATATAAAAAACCAGGATTATTGGCAGATCGACAGCAGCAATGAAGCAACATGTGAGGAGCTTGGTTTCCTCCTGTGATCTCAGAAAACAAACATGACAGAACGTTGCTCAAAGCTACAAAAAACACCCAACAAAGACTTCACGCTGTCATCAAAGGATGAGACCAGAGCTGCTCTGTTGAGAACAGAATGGGCCCTGACTTTGTGTGTGGGATTATAGCATTTTGGAAGGCATGATATACAGCCAAGCTTAACCTCACTCTATTGTTACATTTTCTGTAACGTCAAATCCAGCAATACATCTTCTGTCCACATCCACGTACATCCTATCATCCAGTTTGTAGTTTTGGCTTCAGCTGCAGGATCCTTTTGTTTTGATCATCTTTGAATTCATCAATATACTGCAGCTGTCTGGCTCTAAAACATAGAGATGTCGTTCTTTTCTCTTTTTATATAATAATAATAAACTGAATATCATGTCATTTTTATATCTTTCTGACATTTATCATCATATTAGCCCATATTAGTCCATCATGATATTAGCATCTGAAGCTTAAAGTCAAATTAA